CTTCCTCAAGCAGAGGAGTTCAAGTATCTGGGTGATTTGTTTATGAGGGACAGTAGAATAGACTGGGAAGATTTTTGAACATAATCAAAAACTACAACTGATCAGGAATGTGGAACTGAGTGGGCAATGCACCAGGTTCACCAAGTGCTGCTAATTTGGAATGAGAGCGATTAGGATGGTAAGAGGAAGAAAGTATGGGCGGATCGCTTTCAGTGTGCTGAAAAAGAAAATCCAAGACACTGGGAAACAGACCTCTGGACCTCAGTTGGAACTGTGATTTTGTGTATATCTGTGTGAATGACAAGGTGGTTGCAGGGATGTTTTAATTGTTGGTTAAAAATATTAAAAATGTAATAAGCATAGTGTTAAAAATGACTCAGCTGAGATGGACATGCATTTGATTAGAATGCCTCCTGGGTACTTCCATTTGAATGATGACTATCCGGTCTGCCCCGCTGTAAGGAAACCCTGGAGCAGACCAGAACAGAAGTTCTTGCATGCAGAAGGAGGTTTATTTATCCTCTGATCTGGAAACACCTTAAAAAAAACATAAGGAGCTGGAGAGAGGGAGGTTTGAGTTTCCCTCCTGGACCTTTTTTCTCCATGGCCCAAGCACTAAACAAATGAATGGATGGATGGATGGATGGATAGATGATTATACTGTATATGCAATGGGATAACCCTCTCCTAAAATGTTATTTTTTTCCCACCTCCCCACCCCCTTCCTGTGTAAAATAAACTTTATATAAGTGGCTAAATTTTCAACCCAGTGTAAACAGTATTTTCAAGGGTAACACTGTTACAGAGAATGTAAATAATAGTCATGTGCTCCTGTTTTTGTTCTTTAAATCTGAACAGGTTGTGAAGAAGATCCAGTCATGTGGTTTGGACTTGTTCCTCCTGGTGCTGAAGAAAGAAGAGTATGAAGAGGTAAACTGTTACTGTAACAATTTACAATGAACTAAATCAAATGTGTTGTTCCCACTTTTGTAGTGACCAGCTTTGACTCCAATGTTTTTTTTAAGTGTGTCGTGGAAAAAAAGATATTCCCAAACAGACCAAGGTGTATTTCATCAGATTTATTTACAAAGCTTTGGAGAGCAGTCCAACATTCACAGAACATGCAATTACAAGACAACACTCTTATTAGTGCTCTCATTCATGTAAAACCCTGGTCTGCTTTAACTTCCTAAATCGGACGTTATTTTTGTAGAATAACCTCCAGCCTACGCCTCAGCTTCTCCCCTCCATGTCCGAGTCGTCATTGAAAGGTCCGCTTTCAGACAGGAAGAAGTGGATCTGAGTCAAGAACTCTGCTTGAAGGCACGTCACAATACCATATCAACTCTATCGTAACAAAATCATATCAATCAGCCCTTGAGGATATCAAAACAACTAGTTCCTTCTGTTCCTCCCTGACTGGTCGCAGTAAGAGTGATTACATGGGACTGTTAATATCAGACATCACAAACATGAGCAGAAGGACATTGCAGAACGTTCCCAAAAGAGGAGTTATTGATCATGATGAGTGCAAATAATACACAGTACATTGACAAGTGCACAACAGATGCAGCTTTACTTTATGATAGATTAATGAGAGCTGGAAATAGCTGTGAAGTTGGGTTCTGAATGCTCTGCTTAATTGAGGGTCCTTCTCCTGTTCCAGCATGTTCCTCAGTTACACCAACCCTCTGTATATCCTCCTTAATTATATCTATGAACATTCTCTGTGGTCTTCCTCTTTTCTTCTATACTAACAGCTTCAAATTCAGCATTCTTCATAGCTGGTCTGAGTCAGGTGATGACGAAGCAGCTCTTTGGAGTGTCCAAACGTAAAACTTGTGGGACAACACATGGCCTCATCACCAACTGGATTTACAATTGTTGAAATAAACACACTGGAATCTGTAGTCAAAATGCAAAAGGTTCATGTACTTAATTACAGTATGTGTTCTACCCTTTGAAAGCCCTTTTTTCTACTTTTTCATGGAAAGTGTATGGTCTTGTGACTTAGATGATCTTGTTTATAATTTTACAACTTCATTGTATTCACATTCAAACTTCACTTAATAAAATTACTCAGCTGAAAAAGAAAGTAATCAGTCAGAGGAAGCTGGATCCTTGGGCGGCTGTGGCTGAGTGGTTAGAGCAGTCGTCCTCTAATGCAAGAGTTGGGGGTTCGAGTCTACCAGCAGTCATATGCCGAAGTGTACCATTTACCATTTGGTTCACTTCTGAGTTACATACTTTAAAGCAGCATCTAGAAACCTGGAGAGAAAATGACACTCCAGCAGTGGTGGGATGTATCACAAACAATGATGAGTCCAGCTACAGGCAGGAGGTGGAACACCTGGAGAGCTGGTGCAAGGACAATAACCTTCACATCAGTACGAAGAAGACAAAGGAGATGATCATGATCGTGGACTTCAGAAGGAACACCCACACCCACACACACCGAATAAAAAGAGGATCTGCAGTGGAAGTGGTCTCCAGCTACAAGTACTTGGGTGTACTCCTGAATGAGACAACCTCAGCTGTGGCAACAACACTACCAGCCTGACCAAGAAAGATCATCAGAGATGTCTGGGATGCTCAGTCCTCACCTACTTCTACGGGTGTGCAGTGGAGAGCATCCTGTGCTCCAGCATGAACGTGTGGCATGGAGGCTGCACAGCTGCAGAAAGAAAAGCTTTGCAGAGAGTGGTGAAGGCTGCACATAAATCTGTTGGAGTCAGTCTCCCCACCATCACAGACATCTACACCTCCAGATGCAGGAAGAGAGCCACCTGCATCATGAAGGACCCCACTCACCCAGCACACACACTTTTGGCCCAGCTCCCCTCAGGAAGGAGGTTGAGGAGCAGTAAGTGTAGAACCACTAGGATGAGGAACAACTTCTACCCTGTTAGACTCATGAATTCAGTCAGGATTATCTCTGTGAAAATTACTGTGGAAAAATCACAGAGAAATCATTGTAATGCCACTTATTTGTTATGCGCTGCTGACTATCCACAATGTTGATCTCATGCTGCTGATTTATTTCATGTTGCTGTGTTCATATGTCCTCATCTTTTCACACATACTCATGTTCGTGCTGCTGTTGTTTGGCGCATTGTTCTGTACTATTAGTGCTTATTATATTCGAAGAGAAGACAGGCTTTAGGCGAGCCAATTTGCCCTGTTGGCATGCACGCAGCTAGATATCTCATCGACTTGAAAGACTTGATGATGTGTCTATCTCTGCTGCCATTTGTGGATTTTAAGGACACATATTTAATTGGATTTACAATAACTGGTTCCTGCTTTTGGATTCGGCTGGTTGCTGGTTTTATCTACAATCAAGGAAGTCGTCGGCAGCAAATTTGGACCCGATCATGCTCCTTGCATTCATGATGGCTTGGTTCGTGTCTCGAGTACCTAGACTCAAATGCTTTGGGCAGAATGGATCAGATCTCTGGGATTTTACTCACTCACGTTCCATCAGTGTGGCCATGTAATTTGGACACTTTGGAACCGAGTGGCCCAACACAGACTCAAGGTAGATGTCATTAAGTTCTGCCTGTCCTCAAAACAACTGTGTGTTTATCTGAATTTGGCTCCCTTGGCTGGCCTTGAAGGCCATCTTATCTGAATTCGCCTGGAGAACATGTGATCTGATGCTCATCACCCCCTCCCTGAGGAATTTTCAACTGATAACCAGATGAAACCAGCTGAATAAACTTCATTTCAGGACTCTTGGATTCTCATAGTTGTTATTCTTGGCCATTCCTCGACATACCTCGAGAATGTTTACGGATCTCACTGGAGGACACTGGCTGATTATTCTATCTTTATCAAAACTTTTGCAGTGACCTCGAGAACATCTATGATCATGTTCACCGCTCTCGTCGTCCCCCCTCTGCAGAATGTCTACTTCACTATGTGCTTGTTTGTGCAAGGTGTTTTTTAATATCAGAGTTTTTTCTTCTCAGGCAGGAAAAAAGTCTGATGGGAATTATTTCACTTCCAATTCTTACGTGTCCAGTTTCACTACTTTTTGTCTGTCTAAACAGATCTCACTTGTAAATGAGTCTTCTAGGCTCAATATGACTTATCTGTCTAAATAAAGATTGAATAAATTAAAAAATATTTTTAGTTTAGCATATTTCTTAGTTCATGTCTTGGATCTTACTACTGTTTTTCTTTTCAATATGTATTTTTGTTATATGTAACTTGGACCCTGTGTACATAGTTTCGTTCCACCTCATCAAGTTTCAGTCTTTTATTTCCTATACACTTCTTGGTGTGTCTTGATTATCTTTAAAGTATGGGACTGAAGCAAATCATTTATGTCTTTCAACAACTAAGACACCATTTTCAAGTTTGTGTTCCATCATATGTTACATTTTTTATCTGTTTTATATTTTATCATGTTATATTTGCACTTACCACCTACCATATTCTGATTTTGGGTATTTTTGGTTATAACTTTTTTCATAACAGTTTTCACATATTATCCATAAGAACTCGAGTTTTCTTCATACCTTTTGATTTTCAGGTAACTAGTGTTATATGACATTTTTCATTTATTTCAATGCAGTATTGATTGTAACACATAATCACAATTTGTTGAACAGACTTTTTATTTAAGTAATGACATTGCTTGCTACCTTAAGGAATGAAATGGCAGAAGCTAGCTTGAGGGGTTTAGTTCTGAGGAGACATTTTTCCTGTAAATGACAGCAACAGGTTTTTTTTTTTTTTTTTGGCTCTTTAGGAAGCAATGGCAACTATTCGATTAAATGACTGAGTGTTCACACTTTATTTTAAGTAAGATAATAGGTTTTAGCTGCTATAACACCACTATTTTACATTATCACTTTATCACAGTGTACAGCACAATATAAACTCGTATAAGGATAATTTAATCTCACACTTACCTATAATCTCACACTCAAATATTTATGTATCACAAAATATAACAGAAAATTTGTTAGCATTAGTTTATTTGAGGAATTTTCTCAAACAGGCAGGATTGTAGGATTTAAGAGTTTTTTGTAAATAATGGGACAATAGGATTGTGGGATTTAAGAGGTTATTTTTTTTTTAATAATGGGACAATCTGTTTTATAACATGGCCCCAGCAAGATGTAGTGTTAACAAATATGGAAATGGTTTTGGAGTCAGAATGGTCTGAAAAGAATGTTTATCGTACAGGACGAGGAACGTGTGCCAACTATCTGGATGCAGATCCAGGAAAAATGTTTCTCAAGTAGGAAATACTGATAAGTCAATAACAACTTCTTATATGGAAGTATGGGCGTATGTCCAGAGAACGTTTGTATTGGACAAATGTTGGCCAAAAACAACTTGTGTGTGTGTGTTTGTCAGGAGTGTATAAAAATGGGTCTGAGAACATCCCAGAGATGTTTTTTTCTTTATTTGGTCTTCAAGCTGTTCAGTTTTTCCACAGTGTCTTAAATAAACCCTGATTTTGCTGTCAATACAGAAATCAGTGTAGGATCCCTGGTTTCTCCCTGGCCTGTCTGCACTCACTCTCTCCACAGCTCATCTCTAATTACCCTGATGAGATCCACCTGCTGTTTTTCCTAAGGAGGACTGATCGTGGTTGCCTACTTAAGCTGCAGCCAGACATCTCTCCAGTGCTGGGACAACTTCTGCCTATGGGACCTCCATGTCCTGCTCCTCTGAAGTCTTTCCACGGGCCTCGTCCAGCACTCTCCACGGTGCACCTACAAAAGCAGCAGAGTCTGGTCTCATCAGTGGTTAAACAAATTACTGGGTCTACCTGTTCCTCTCTCCACCATGTCTCACCTATTCATCTCCATCGAAACCAGGACCTCAACTCTCCCTCGGCGCCTTCCCCTACAACAACAAGTAAGACGACTTTGTTCATCTCAAGAATCTAAGTCAACAATATTGGATACTCA